GAATTCAAATGGTATAATCTCAGTAGTACCATAACTATAAAAGGATTAGTTTTATAGTTAACATGGTTAAATGCCATGTTAACCAGTTTGATCAAAACAAAACAAAACATTAAACTCTTAACGTTGCCTTTAAAGGTCTTCAGGAGCTCCCCCAATGCCTCTAATCCGGTAAGAGTGCAGGCTCTGGGCTCAGTGCCTGTGGCTCAAGTGGATAAAGCACCAGCCACATATGCCTGAGCTGGTGGGTTCAAATCCAGCCTGGGCCCGCCAAACAATGATGGCTACAATCAAAAAACAGCTGGGCGTTGTAGTGGGCTCCTGTAGTCCCAGCTACTTGGGAGGTGGAGGCAGGAGAATCGCTTGAGCCTATGAGTGGAGGTTGCTGTGAGCTGTGATGCCAAAGCACTCTACCCAGGCTGACAGCTTGAGGCTCTGTCTCAAAAAAAAAGAAGAGTGCAGGCTCTGAAATTAGAATTCATCAATCTGAATCTTTCCATGCCACTTACAAGTTGTATAACCTAAGAAAATTATTTAATCTCTCCAAACTTCAGTTTCCTTATTTGTAAAAGGGAATATTGGTAACTCAAAGAGTTGTTGTGAGGATTAGATGAAATAATGCAAGGCAGAATAGTAAGCAACTTGAGACTTACTAATATTATAGTTCAAAAGTAGTTCTTCTTTGAAGAACTAGTTCAAAGTCCTTCTAAGCTCTCCTAAAACTGCTTCATTTGCCTTGTCCACACCTACCTCGTCCTCTTTTATACCTCTATGTATCAGTCACACCATCAACTTGCAAGGCAAACTCCCAAGAACTGCCAGACACCTTTCTCCATTGTTATGGTTTTCTCTGCCAGGTCTTCCTGGCTCTACCAAACCTGTACTCTTAGAGGTTAAGTACTCCCCAACTTTTAAGGCCCAGCTCAACCATCTCCCTTTCTTTTCTAAGAAGTCTGTCCTGTCCTACCTCTATGCTTAATTTGCCACCTACTACCTTTTTCCTCGGTGTACTCTGCCTGATTCTAGTCAACTTCCTTCAGTTAAACTACATGTTTTTGAGAGCAGGGCCTGGGTGTCTCTTCTCTGCATCTCCCAATGCACCTACTACATGCCTAGCCCAATTAAGGTAGCTCAATAGTAATTACTTGTGATGAAAGTTTAGTCCCCTTGGTTTTTTTTTTTTTTTTTT